GATAGGGACACCCGACACACAACACACACTCTCAGTGAGCTTAATTGAATCTTAATGACAAGTAACAAGACTTAGCAACAGTGCTTAGTGACAATGGCTGAATGGATGAAATTAAATGACTAAGACTTAGCAATGAAACTGGTAAGCTAGCGAATCAAGTTAACGACAAAAGACTTGCAACAAGACTAGATTACAAGATGGCTAACGATGAAGCCTAACGACGCGACTTAGCATGGAGATTTGGTGACGGACAGCCCTAACGGATGAACTAATAGACGTGAACTTAGCGACGGAGATCTGTAGACGACAGCTAGACGATTGAAGCCTAAAGACGGGACTTAGCACGGCAGATTGGTGACCGAAAGCTAAACGATGAAGCTTACGGACAAGCACTTTGGGGGGGCAAGCAGCAGGAGATTTCGGTGACACAGCTAACGACGAAGCTAACGCACCGTGATCCGTAGCACGAGTATTTGGATGACGAGCAGCTAACGGATGAATGCTTAAGACGTGATAGCCACTCCCCGGAGATTTGGTGACGAGCCCTACGATAAGCCTAACAGGACGTGACTTTACAGCGGAGAATCTGGTGACTGACAGCTAGACGATACGAGCAAACGATGCGACTTTAGCACACACTCTCTGTGACGGACAGCGCGTAACGATGAATGCCAACGATGCGACTCTGGCAGCGGAGATTTGTCGACGACAGTCTAAACGATGTGAAGCACGAGATTTGGTGCACGACAGCTAAACGATGAACGCCGTAACGACGATAGACTTACACGAGTGGTGACGACAGCTAACGATGAGCTATACGATTGCGACTAGCACGGAGATTTGGTGACGACAGCTAACGATGAAGCCTAAGCGACGCGACTTAGCACGGAGATTTGGTGACACAGCTAACGATGAAGATACGACGTGACTAGCACGGAATTTGTGACGCAGCTACGATGAAGCTACGACGTGCCTTAGCACTGAGATTTGGTGACGACAGCTAAACGATTGAAGCTTAACGATGTGACTTAGCACGGAGATTTGTGAACGACAGCTAACGATAAGCCTAAGACGTGACTTACACGAGATTTGGTGACCGACAGCTAACGATGAAAGCCTAACACGTGACATTAGCAATGGAGATTGTGACAAAGCTAACGATGAGCTACGATGACTCTAGCACGAGATGGACGAAGCTAACGATAAGCCTAACGACGGACTAGCAACGGGATTGTGACGACAGCTAACGAGAACACACGCCACAACCATCAAGAGATAAAGAGATAGACGCTAACGACTCCGACCCTTAGCATACGGATATTGGTTGCACGACCAGCTAACATGAAAGCTATGACCAGCGACCAGCACGGAGATTTGTGAGACAGGCTCTTAACGACGTGACTGCACCCCAAGCCCACGCACACCACTAACGATGAAGCCCTAACGACCGTGACTGTAGCACGGGAGATCTTGTGACGACAGCTAAACGATGTACGCCTAAACCACTTAGCTACCGGAATTTGGTGGACGAACAGCTAGATGAAGCTTAACAGACCGCACTTAGCACGGAGATTTTGTGACGACAGCTAACCGAGAAGCTACCAATCGACCCGCGACTTAGCACGCAGATTTGGTGAGACAGCTAACGAGGAAGTGCTAATGACGTGACTTAGCAGCGAGATTTGGTACCACACCCGAAACCCCGTGTAGGCAATAATTAGCCAAGGCTAGATGTCGTCAAAGTCTGACATGCTAGAAACGAGTGTTCAAATATAACATCGCGTGTAATGAGGGGCAACTGGCAAACCAGACAGCCTAACATAATTACTCAACGTCAGCGACTTGTCGACAAGATCCCGAAATCTCAGTGACTGTTCTCATCGGTGAAGTGGCCGAGTCTACAGAGAACTCGATACCTCCCTCTCCCCATGCCCGTCGCGCGTGCCTGCATGCCGATCCAACGACTCGACTCCGCCCTCCCGGCCCCCCCCCCAACCACCCCCACCACTCACCACAACAACAAGGGCTGTAATAAAAGCATTCTGTGTAATCTAGCAGGGGCAACTGGACAAGACAAGGCGTCGGAAGTGGGGGGGGGGCGACCGCCTCCTCAATCCAAAAACTGGGGGGGGCAAAATACAAAGCCCCCTCAAAATAAACATTAATATGAAAACATGTGTGTGTGTGTGTTGTTCGTGGCCTGCGCGCGTGCGTGCGTGCGTGTGTTGTTGTAAATGCTAGGTCTGGTGAGTGTCGTGCAGCAGACATACATCACACACACACACGCATAACACGCACGCTCCCTAGGTCTTTCACCCCCAATACCAGAAACTGCTTCGGGCGCCTGCTCACAAATTACTCGCCATGTATATTTGTCATTTATTCACCCCTGATTCTAGTTACACTATAGTTTAACTAGTGGATAACGAAGTACATGTTTTATACCCATCCGCAACATAGCAGGATATGCGAGCCGGCGTAACTTGTGGCTGGCGGTCGTGTCGCGTGGCAAGGTTGTAGCATGCGTACCGGCGTACAAAAGGGGAACCGAGCGTAACTCGACCCACAACCCCCCCCGCCGTACTCACCTAACACTTAGCAACCCCCGAAGGAGCTTCCATGCTACTTACTATAAAGCCTGCACACACACGAATCAACAATATTGATAATATTCCCCCATCGCGCACGTACTGAGTAAGACTAATGCTGTAGCGATAGTTAACGCAGAGAATGAGAAATGAATCGTCTCGGCTCTTCGATCGGAGAGAC